CACAATATTCTTTACAATAACCATTGACAAAGCAGATTTTAACCATTTTAGCTCAGACATTGATGTACCTGCCCAGGCTTAGTAAATTCAAATTTTTTCCATTTCATACCATTTCACAACAGTGACGGTTTCATGCCCAAAACTTGTTAACATAGCCATGGTATTTGTGTTTTTCAGTGGTCTGTTGATATATCCAGAAGGACCTTTAAACTGTGACTGTGAACCATGTGATATGTCAGAAATGTTCAGACCATTCCACAGCTTACTTTACAAAATAAGGTAATCTCATTTACATATTCCTGTAGTAATTCAAAAATAATGTCACAAGTCTGATTAATTATTCATGATGGCTTTTCATATAATCGTAAAATGCTTCATTTTTGCTCCTGGAATTTCTGTGATTTGGTGGTTTTATGATATTCATGAAGACAAAAGAATTTTTCATCGTTACAAAATTTCATAATTTTCACTGTCTCGCGAAATATCTGAAAATTTGCCTCTCGTGAAACGGGGAGTTACAGTGACACTTTTGAAAATTGGTTGTCATAAACTACCTCATTATGTAAATATCCTGTGAAGTTCAAGGCTAAGTCTGGCCATCACAATATCAGTTCATTTCACAAGATATGAGTGAAGTATTTTAGGATTATATAAGGATTCAGGAGGAGGGTGAGGATTTGGGGATAGATTAAGGTTGTTTGATGCCATTAAAACATCGGTCACGGTAAATCATTCACAAATTGTTGCATTATGATTTAAAAAAAAAAAACATGTACAAAATAAGCCAGAAAGCAGCCATTTTGGAATATTTTTCATAGGAATCCACATTCTATGGATAACTTATACCAATTTTCAAAATATTCTCTGTTTTCAAGACAGCAATATGTAACCCTCATAACACTACATACATGTGTCTAACTTTTTATAGCATAGGTCACCCAACAAAATAATGAGATATGATGGAATGTTTATGCCATATGAACCTCTCACAACATGCATCAAAGATTTCTGACTATATTATTTTAATGTTATTAAACTACCTTTAATAACGGCCAGTCTTTATATAGTGCAACTATTTGGGTTAAATTTTGAATTTCTATGTGATATTACAGATGAGCATACTCCCATTCTCCTACACATCTCCATGTATGACTCTTTTTGAACTGATCATTGTAATTTTATTTTCAGAGAGTTACTACATACACTCAATCTATATGAATTGCATTTACTTGAAAAATCTCTGTCTAGTTCCGAGGAACCTTGGAATTATTTGGAAAAAGACATTAACAATTCAAATGAAGTATCGTTGCAATCACAGGAAGGTGTGCCAATTGATCAGTCACATAATAAGAGACATCGTGATAGCGACATTTCGTCAACGTCCGGTAGCAGTCTAAGTAATCAATCAAACTCTTCTACAAGCACTGTCAAACTGAACCAATCACCAGCAAGTATAGTTCAAATTGACCAATTAGGTCACAGTTCAAGAGATATGAACCAATCAGCTGCAGGCAGCTCATTTCAAACTGATCAATCAACAAATAGGAATGTAGATGATGGTGAATATAGAATTGCAGAAACTTGTGTGCCCACTCGTAGCAATAAACAAGGAACTCCTACAGAGAGACAGGATGTACAGAGACCAGGGCTTCCAGCAGACTTTTCGATATCTGTGGATTTTAAACAAGAATTTGCTACGATTACAATTAGACCAGACACTCATAGTGAACAGTCTATAATTTGCAAACAAACTGAGGTAGCTACTGAGGATGATGTCATTGTTGGTTCAGTTGAGGGTAAAATAGGTAATGACGATCAATCTGAGGTGTCAGTTTTAGACAATTCAACTGAAACTTCTCAGGTAACTTTTGAGGTTGATGACTTGGGTGCTGCCGCAAACATTGATGATGTCACTGCTGATACTTCGTCACACAAAATACTCGCAATGTGTAATTGCATTTTGGATGATATGTTACATAATGCTATGCAGTGTGCATCCATGGGTGGGTTTGTAGATGATTTTCAACAAAGTGCTAGAGCTTGTGATGAGGAAGCAAGTAATGTTGTCATGGAAACTGAAAGTGAAGAATTTGTTGCACATGGTATTTACAATACAGAGCCAACGGAATATCAGGAAGTTGCCATGAAAACTGAGACAAATCAACAAGAAATTTCTGACAGTTATTCAGTGGATGGAATGATAAAAAAATCTGACACCGTCCTTTTCAAAGCTTCAGGTTCTGATATTGCAGTGGCTGAAACCTCAGAACATTATGAATACTTTCCTCTGAAGGGGCATGATTCAGACTTGAGTTCACCAGACTCGCCCCTGATAGATGAGAAAGATGAGAATATTAATGTGGACAAGCTGATGATCGAAGAGTGTGCTGATAATAAAGTTCATCTGGGGCCAGGTTTTCCCATTGTTGGCAAGAGTATGAATACTGTTGAAGTAAGCCAGGCTGGGACAGAGGTGAATACAGCCGATTGCATTGTGGGCGGAGGCGAGAGAGTTCGTCATAGGTCACATTCTGGTAATAGTGGGTGCTACTATGATGGTAGGATGATAGAGGAATCTATTTTCACACAGGAAGGTTCATTTATGGGTACTTTTGATCACAGTACTGAAAGATGCAATGTGGAGAATGGATACGATTGGGAATCAGATGAAAGGTATGTTAATACGTGTATTTACTGGTGTTTTCTACCAGGGAGGGTAGGGACAATATAAAAGCAGGGGAGTTTTGATTTAATATCTCACAAAATGGTGTTTTTTCCTTGCCTTTCATATTATTTGAGTCATACATACTCATAGGTTGATTTTGTGCAGGCGGTAAATAACTGCGACTTATCGTATTAAATATTCAGGTGTCAGGTCATTGTGATCAATGGCTAAAAGTATGCATGCCAAAGCTTTTTGCAGCTCCGCTGTTGACTTTGTCGAGCGAAGCTTATCATATGAGTGATTGTCTGTCTCCGTCGTCGTCCCTGTTAATGTTTTACTTTTTCAACTTCTTTTTGAAAACTACAAGCCTGAATGCTTTGATACTTGGTGTATATGTACCTTGGGTAGACCTCTCTCAGATTTGTTCATTTTGTAATGATATCTTCAATTCTCTAATTTTGGTGAATATTTTTGTCATTTTTGGTAAAAAGTGATATTTTTGACTTCTTGTTAAAAACCGCAAGTCCAATTGCTTTGATATTACATATATAGGTACTACATGTGGACCTCTCTCAGATTTGTTCATTTTGTAATGATATTTTTAATTCTCTAATTTTGGTGAATATTTTTGTCATTTGTTGGTAAAAAGTGATATTTTCGACTTCTTTTTAAAAACCGCAAGTCAAATTGCTTTGATATATAGGTACTAAATGTGGACACTCTCAGATTTGTTCATTTTGTAATGATATCTTCAATTCTCTAATTTTGGTGAATATTTTTGTCATTTTTGGTAAAAAGTGATATTTTTGACTTCTTGTTGAAAACCGTAAGTCTGATTGCTTTTATATTACATATATAGGTACTACATGTAGAACTCTTTCAGATTTGTTAATTTGGTGGTGATATCTTCAATTATCTAATTTTGACGATTATTTTTGGTGAAAAGTGATATTTTTGAATTCTTGTTGAAAACAGCAAGTCCTGTTGTTTTGATACTATACATATTGTTCATTTTCTAATGATATCTTCTGTTCTTTAATTGCAATGTGCATTGCTAACAGCAGAGCTATCTCAGCCGAAAGGCTGCTTGTTTAAAGAATTTTAGGAACAGTTAAGACAAATTTATAAAATTGTTATGAAATCACAAATTTCATGCCGCATTGTTTTTGAACTAGTAATGTTTTATTCACAGTTCTAGCAGCACGGAAACTAGTTCTTACACATCAGAATGTCAAGACGAATCCGAGATAACCATGGCAATACAAGCTGCAGAATTAGCAGCTAAGCAGCAGGCTAGAGCTCATTTTAGCAGTGCTGGAGATCTCATACATCGATTATTTGTCTGCATATCAGGTGAGTCAATTAGATAACTCTCAAATGAAGGTCCTGTCTGCAAAGGTACTTCTATTCTCAACGAAAGAGTTGTCATAAAATAGTATATTATAGAAACAAAAATACAAACAATTTCCATTGTGTAAAAGTTCAGCTCAAAACTACTGTAGAATACTTTATTTTCGCTTGGAATTTACTTTCGCTATTTTCGCTGAAGGGATGATTCCGTGAAAATAAAATCCAGCGAATACACTTTTTTTCCTATATTTCATATTAAACTCAACAAAAATCAGTGAAAATAAATTCCATACAAAACACCCAAAAAGCCCTTTCAGCGAAAATTAATTCCAGCGAAAATAAAGTATTCCACAGTAAGTGATTGAAGATAATCTGGTAGTAAACGATATATTTACTCGTGTAGACATAAAAACCAAAAGCCGGAGCTCATGGCATACAAAAGATATGTAAAATATTTCCTTGAGACAGAGTTCTTCATTGCTGTCCGACGGAATAGGTTGACTTCTCATAATAAGAAATGGGGAAATATTTTGAGTAATGTTTCTCAGTCCACTTCACAATATGCAGATTAACTGCAATTTGCAATGTACAAACCAGGTATGTAAGGTGTTGTTAATTTAAGTGCAAACTCCTATAAAAGTTTATAAATTAAATACAAAAAAATAATTAATCTCTTTACCAAGAGTTTCTTATGATCAACCGTTTAACTTGTTTCTTTACAGGTGTTGCTGATCAACTGCAGACTAATTTTGCTGCTGATCTTCGGAATATTCTCAAATCAGTATTTGAAGTGTGTACCTCTGAGTCGTATAACATGGAAGATTCTGACGTTTTCTGTAATGGTGGAGCTAGTGGTAATATTGCTGATCAAGGTACTGGCAGGACACATAGTGGAAATAATGGACAAAGACGAGCTAGACGATCAAGGCATCCAAGTGGACAATATGAAGGTGTGTATGGATAATATTATGAACACTCATGAATAATAATTAAAGTAAGGGATGGACCATGAGAAACTTGGGGGTGTTGAATGGATAATATAATGAATGCACATGAAATGAACAAAGGGGTGGACCATGAGAAACTCTGCATGAATTGATCCCGGATTATAGGATTACAAGGTTTACTGGGTCACAAAGAATGCCCCAGATGTTGCTATTCTAAACTATGTATCACATTTCTGTTAAATTGAAGACAATCAGGCTAACAATAGTTTCACTATGTTTTTTTTGATATTAGAGCCTCCAGCATGGGTTCCTGATGAGAATTGCACATATTGTACTTCTTGTAAAGTTCCTTTTACGGTTATACGTAGAAAACATCATTGTAGAAACTGTGGAAAGGTGAGTATGTTAACCACTGTAGATAACAAAAATTAATCTTTTGTGCTGAAAAATCATCAAAATCAATCATTTCTGGCATTCTGGAACTGGATCTTGGCTATTTACAGATGGATTTTGTTTAAACTTGGTACATACATTAGACATTATGGGTCCCTGATGCACATCATTTTGTTTTTCTGATTGAATTCAAAATGGATGTCTGGTGGCCATTTTGTTTTAATGAATGCTGTTCTAGAGCCATATCTCTGACATGATTTGACTGATTATGTTCAAATTTTATAAATTCATTATACATCATGTTCTTGATATACTGATTTATTGGTTCGACGATTCGATTCAAAATGGCTGACTGGTGGCCATTTTGTTTTAATTAATACTGTTTCAGAGCAATATCTTTCAATAAGGGCAAGTACTTGTTTGACGATCTGATACAAGATGACTGAATGTCAATAATTTTAATGTTAAAAAATCATCATAATCAAGCATCAGCTTCTGGATCCATATCTCTGACATGTTTATGTTCAAACTATATTACTATAAACAAAACTATACATCTTAAATTTGATAACTGACGGGGACTGTGCCATGCATGGCTTGTTCATATTTGTTCACCGGAACTGTGATTTTTAGTCTCTTTCACATGTACATACAATATATTTACGGCATATTTAAATCTGCATGTGTCAGACACTACCATTTTGTGTGAATAACATTACATCAGGGTGTCTTTTGTTTGTAATATTTAAACAAAATTCATGAATTATGTGTTCTTGCATTTTCAGATCTTCTGTGGACGATGTTCAACTAACTCGGTACCGCTGCCGCGATATGGTGTCATCAAACCAGTTCGTGTGTGTACAAAATGCTACATGTTTTGTGTTACACCCTTCCTGAGGTAGCATGCAAGTCTCCAGTGGTGAACTTGATCTATACAACAATTTACTGAAGGCATTACTCTGCGTTTGAATGATCTTGGGTAATTTTATCTTCACAAGCTCTGAAAGTGCGCCCTCTATGTAAATATATAAAAGAAATTGACAAAATGGGCTGAACTTGTTGAGGGCAGCATTGATAGTGGTTAAACTAGCTTTCAAAATAATGTTAAAATAATTGAATTGAAAATAGTCTAGAATCTTTGTTTATTCTGACGTCTCAAAAACCTTTACAATAGCCACCTAGTTATGATGACCAATTTATCTTATTAGCCATGCAAATGTATTCAATACATCACCTATTACATGTAATGGCTGGCTGTACCAAAACCAAAGCATTTATACTGCTTTGATGGTATTTCAAATCATAATTATGGTCAATAGCTAATCGTTATCTTGTTTTTTGAACAGCATGCATGAAAGACCCCAAATGACCACACAGATTTGAGACTAAATTCATTCTTATAACCGATAATAATGTGTAAACAGTAAAATTTGAAGCAATGAATTCATCATTAGCATCAAAATGTAGATGAATTTTAATTATTAATGATTTTTTCCTAATTTGTTTAATTTCAATGCATACTTAACTTGGCGGTATGTATATTTTGATGTGACGTATTCTGCTCATTTATCAGTTTGTAAAGTTAATGTCTGGCTTTGTACTTGCTATATTTTTATTTTATTCCATGCTGTAACCAACACCTTGATATTTTTTATTACTCAAGTTTATTGTATAATTTTTTTTTGACATTTTTAATTGGATTTTATTTCTTAATACTTAAAAAAACTTATTATCATTTTTTATACAATTCAAATGTATTACAAATATGTAAGCGGAAAGTTCTGGAAAATAAAAGTTGCAAATTGGCTGATCTGTGCAAGAGTCGTATTCATAGTTGTATATCTGTCATTGTACAGTGATATGGTCCTAAGTTTAGACAAACTTTGTGTGGTAATCTAATCATCAGATCCATCTTGGATCTTGCTGCATTACATTGAAATCAAACCTTCCCTGCCTACCGGTAATAAAAATCGTAAATGCAGTCAGGTTAATATTTCCCTTGCCTTTCATGTGCAGATATCTCCCATTGTCAGAGGTTTGATGGTTAGTGAGCCCAGATGCTAAATTGATGGTTACAAACATACATTTGTAGTTACAAAAATCACCACACTCGTATTTTAAAAACCACGCCAAAACTTGGTTACTGGCAACATACATTTCTGTTTTTGTTGAACGTCCATGTTTATTAAATTTTTATTATGGGAAATGTACGTTAAACGAAACAAAAATTTTAAGTTGCCCGTAACTCTAAGTTCAGTTAATTAATAATTAATTAATAGTGTGAAATATGGGCTTGTTATTTGGTAACTCGAACAATTCAGTAAAAAGACTGCAATTTTAACAAATGTACATGTTTATAGATATTTTGCTCATACTTGTACAGAATTCTGAGCAGTTACAATGTTTGCGACATCTGTAACAGTTTGTATGTAATCATGGGAAAAACTAGATAACGTGTCAATTCCATCCAGCAGCTCCCTGCCCTCTTTCAGACATTGTACGTATATAATGTATTTTTAAGGTAAAAAACTACTTGTAATTGAAAATTTATTTGCAATAAACTACTTTGTCAAGAGTAACAAATGTTATCAGCACATGTTCCTATAGCAGAGATGCTTCTAAAATTGTAGGTTGGTGACACAAGGAGTGTTAAATATTTACAAATGCAATTTTTCATAACCAGTGTTCTTAAATATGGCACTGCATAGTAAAAAACAAAAGAATCCCATTTCTTGTTACTAGAACTCCATGATTAAACATAATAAACCAAAAGTAGTCATGAAAATTTTCTCAAGAATTCAAATTAATACATTTGTATTATAATCCCTTCATTATTTGAATTTTAAAAAAAATAGGTGGCTGAATTTTGAGAGTTTAGTTGGAATAACATTTTTTAACTTCTATCCCAAGAAATGTCAATATGCCATTTCTCACCAGGTGACTGAATTTCTAAAGAAAAACTAGTGTTGCAGACAATTTTGTCAAGACTGCTTGTGACTAATCAAAAAAACAGAACTTGAAGCAATGTTAATTAGAGATTTTTATTATGCATACATGAACATTGTTTTAATCTACAAATAAAAATACATCAATATTTTAATACTAGTATTTATTGGAGTAATTTTTTTGTAAATGTTTGGTCATAAATTTAAAAATGTTGGCAGTAGACAAGGAAGGCAGTGTGATGGTAAATTATTTGTTCATGAGACATTTAAAAATTTATCTTAGTCTAATTGTGAAAACTTTTATCATACATTATATTAATGTGACCCAGTATCTGAGCAAGTTTATTGTTACGGCACTGGTTTTATGATTCACATTCAATAAAACTTGATGTGCATGTAAAGCAGCAGTGACTTTTTCACACAGATAAACAGTAATTTTTATGCATTTTATTAAAAATACATAAATGACATTTTTCTAAAATTTTAGTTAGGAACAAGTTTTTTATTTTACAAAATTTCATGTTATCTTAACTGATATTTTAGTTGTAATATATTTGTCAGACTTCAATAGAGCGATCATGTGACGTTACTCATGACTTATAACAGTATGTTATTTTTTTTTTTACCTGACAATTATTGTTAAGGCTTTGATTACAATGATGGAGGTGAAAAAAAACGCTTTATAAAATGATTGAAGTTTGACTTTAATCAATGAAATGATAGTTTTGTTATTAAAACAGCAATTTCTCAATAAAACATTATTTGTTATTATTGAATAGTTTCTGTGGTAACTCAGTCATATTTATAATCTGTTTTTTGCCAACAAACACACCAAGTGATCCTGTTTTGACAGAAATTTAGCTTTCTAATAACAATTGTACACTGTATATGATATCTGACGTTATTGTACATGTGATCACTAAATTTTAACAGTGATTTTTATGGTAATACAGTAACCATGGCTATCTATGCATAAATCTGCATATTCAAGGGGGCATTTGGCCAGCTCAGACATTTCTGTCGCATGATCTTCATTTCAGTTTGTCTGGGGGGGGGGTTCAAATTTTCACTAAATCTCGTTATGGCTGATGCAAAGGGGTGTAATGTTACATGAAGTTATCTCAACCATGTTTCCAGTTCATATTGGCCTGGCTCAGTGAACTATAGTGATTCTTGCAACAATGTAAATGATAGTTGAGCTTACCAATTTATAATGCAGACTATGAAAACATTATTTCTGAGTTTAAAACACTTTAAATTTTTGATAACATGAGCATGTGCCTGATATGAGTGTTTGACTGTACGGTGTTACAAAACAAAAGATTTTTTCTGGACTATGCAGTGCTGACTATATGGAACCTACTTAATACTGGAGCTCTTTTTATGTTGCAGAAAAAACAAACACTTTATAACATAAATGCAATTGTTGATAAGACAAAAAGAAAGAAATATAACATTTTTTTTTAAATTAATAACGGCAGTTATTGCACACTTGTGAAATGATACATGTAAATCCTAGTTTGTTTGCAAATGAGATGGTCAAGCACATGATCTGAAGTTTGACAGGAGCCAAACTAATCAGTACCAGTTGATCTTCTTGTGGTTTCCAGCAGTGACGGGTCATTCACCTTTACCAAGTCCATCAGTGTACATCACTGCATTGTATCACACTTCAAACACCAAATAAACTTCTTAAATCATTCAGTGTTAGCTTTTTATTGCTGGCACGGTCACTGGAAAAAAAAGTATTAATCTATAAACACATGTGTATGAAGTGAGGTACATGTAACGAGTTTGGTATGTCTGTTCGTTTGTCTGTGTAAACAAAAATCTCAAATCTGTGATCAAATTTAGTAAATAGATAATAAGCAAACATTAGTTTTGGAGGCATGTCAATGCATAATAAGCAAAATCTCAAAAATGCCTGAGCGGATTTTGATGAAATTTTGTACACAGGTACCTTCGGTAATGTGCAGACATGATTAGTTTTAGGGCAATATCTATGCATATTAAGTAGGTAATTTGCATATTATCTCATTTCAGTCTGTATTAAGCATGATCTCAAAAACTTCAGTTAGGATTTTGATGAAATTTTGTACACAGGTACCTTCGGTAATGTGCAGACATGATTAGTTTTAGGGCAATATCTATGCATATTAAGTAGGTAATTTGCATATTATCTCATTTCAGTCTGTATTAAGCATGATCTCAAAAACTTCAGTTAGGATTTTGATGAAATTTTGTACACAGGTACCTTCGGTAATGTGCAGACATGATTAGTTTTAGGGCAATATCTATGCATATTAAGTAGGTAATTTGCATATTATCTCATTTCAGTCTGTATTAAGCATGATCTCAAAAACTTCAGTTAGGATTTTGATGAAATTTTGTACACAGGTAATTTCGGTAATGTGCAGACATGATTAGTTTTAGGGCAATATCTATGCATATTAAGTAGGTAATTTGCATATTATCTCATTTCAGTCTGTGTATTAAGCATGATCTCAAAAACTTCAGTTAGGATTTTGATGAAATTTTGTACACAGGTACCTTCGGCAATGTGCAGACATGATTAGTTTTAGGGCAATATATATGCATATTAAGTAGGTAATTTGCATATTATCTCATTTCAGTCTGTGTATTAAGCATGATCTCAAAAACTTCAGTTAGAATTTTGATCAAATTTGCTGTTTATTGGTGCCTGACATCTGCTAGCTGATCTCTTAACCTTTGATGTCATTGTTCTTTCACGTACTGTTGGGAATTTTCATTTGCTAGATAAGTTTTATAAAACAACAATGAATGCATATTTTGTATTTACATAGGAGCTTTGCAGAGTTTTAACTTTGATTCACCCATTTATTTTGACTATTCATAAATGCTTTCATCATGCAATGTGTTAAGGTCTATGAATACATGCAATACAACACAATGTACATACCATAATATTCTTATCTAGCATGTGAATAGGTGAACTTAAACTCATGACAAAACAATTACAGATACCCAAATATCTTCCCTGAATTTAAATCCACCAGATATCAAAAAAATATTCTAAAGTGTGCATAAAGGCAGTATTGGCAACGAACTAGTAGAAGTCTGTTCAGTGATATGATTCTATGCCACATTAAGAAATGAAAAAAATTTAACATTAGAACAAGTACAAATGCGCTCCTAACAAATACAGGGACAGCTTTTATGGAATGCTAAATTCTATTATTTTCTGTGCCTGAAGTATAATCTTAACTATCACAACTACACCTTAGCAACATGTTACCATGGCAACACATAACCACATTGATTACTTACCCAGATAGAACATTTGTGGCAAGATTCGTTTTCTTCTTCTGCAGTTCAAGTATTTTCTCCTCCACTGTGTTCTTGCAAACAAATTTATGAATGAAAACTTCCTTTTCCTGTCCAACTCGGTATATTCTATCACAGGCTTGCTGTTCTAAAGCAGGATTCCTGGTATAAAACAAAGCACCAAGCTTAACAATTAATATGACTGAGCTTGTATCATATGGTTGACATTCAACATGTCACCGCCATACTGCTTTGTACACCAAAACAACATTGCCATCTAATTTCTGACTACATTGCTATGCACATCTTGAAACCAAATACAGACATTCCATTCTCAATATGGTTATTGCTTGAATTTTGATGGACAGTCTTGTTCATTCTGAAAGGTAATTTAAAAGTTACCCGTTCCAAGACTACAGAAACTCATTTCTCAGAATGAGATTTTGATTGACCAATCACGTCATGGAATCCATCATGAATTCCATGAAACTGTTGATTGGCCAATCACATCATGGAATCCATCATGAATTGCATACGACTGTTGATTGACCAATCACAACATGGAATCCATCATGAATTCCTTATGACTGATAATTGACCAATCACAACATGGAATCCATCATGAATTCCATATAACTGTTGATTGACCAATCACAACATGGAATCCATCATGAATTCTATATAACTGTTGATTGACCAATCACAACATGGAATCCATCATGAATTCCTTATGACTGACCAATCACATCATGGAATCCATCGTGAATTCCATATGACTGTTGATTGACCAATCACAACATGGAATCCATCATGAATTCCATACAACTGTTGATTGACCAATCACAACATGGAATCCATCATGAATTCCATTTGACTGTTGATTGACCAATCACATCATGGAATCCATCATGGAATCCATCATGAATTCCATTTGACTGCTGATTGACCAATCACATCATGGAATCGATCATAAATTCCATATAGCTGTTGA